GGGAAGGTGGACAAATACTATTTGGTGAAAAGGAGGAGAGAACATTACCTGGGGACCATAAAGTGCTCAAAAGTTTCTGGGGCAGTGGGGGCACCGGGCACAGAATGATGGAGAGGTCAAATGCCGGTAAGGGGCAGACCGGGGTCAGGCGACCCTGTCACCAGGGCATGCCTCCTAATGTGGGCAGACATCCAGTGACAGTGCTGGGTGTCAGAAAGTCCCTGCCTCAAACGGTCCTCCAGCCAGTGCCGACGAGACGGCCAGGTTGCTGAAATCAAATTGGACCCTGGAAACCGAGGGTTTTTTCCCCAAACGCACAAGTAAGCCGAGACCCCAGCTGCCCACCGGCTGTTCCCCACTCCACTCCCCCTGCTTCCCCATCCCACTATACCTGGCCCAGCAACCACAGGCACCCCAGGCTGGAAAGAAGACCCGCGGAGGTACAAAGGATGGGGCACCCCTGACCCAACCCCACCCCCGTCCCCCTTTCTCCGATTCCCAGGCTCAAACCACAAGCTAGGACCCGGGCTCCATCTCTCTCTGGGAGATGGGCAGGGTCCAGCCTGATGGGGCCAGAACAGGCTGTGGAGTAGTCCGACCCTTCCTCTCTCGACCACAGAAGAGATCTTATTTTTCCCTCCTCTAGACTCTCCGGTTTCTGCTCTGCATTTTCCACTCATACCCTGCCTCATACATATTGGTACATTTGATTCACAGATGCTTGTTCTTCTCACCTAAATTCAGGGGTCTTCTTTTTTTTCTTAAAAGATTATTTATTTACTTATTTGACAGGGAGAGCCTAAGCAGGGGGAGCGGCAGGCAGAGGGAGATGGGGGAAGCAGGCTCCCCACTGAGTAGGGAGCCCGCCGCGGGGCTCGATCCCTGGATCCTGGGACCGACCGAGCCACCCAGGCACCCCTCAATGGTCTTTAAGGGCACAAGCTAGACTGCGCTTGTCTGAGACCCCACGTGGACAGGACTCCCTAGCATGTTCCTTCGTTGTGAGGTCTTTGAGGCTACTGGCGGCCTCCTCCTCCTCTCCAGAGTCCCCTTTCTTCCTGCTTCTCTCCTCCCCTGTCCTTAGCAAATTGGTGTTTCCATGAGGAATGTAGCTGAAAACCTGAGGAACTACCAACACAAGGCCCCAGTGCCCGTGAGCTAGCGTAGCTGGTCCCAGACATCAAAAGCCTGTGTTAGAAAAGCCTGGGTGAGCCCCGGCTTCCTGTTCCCCGAGCGTTCCCTGTCTCCTCTGGCGTACTCGGAAACGGTTTGGACCAGCGAGGGGGAGGGCTACCGGCCCAGTGGGCCAGGTTCAATGTTCTGGCGGCAGACAGGCTGACATTGATGGTTGACTGGTGGTTCTTACTTGCTTTTTCCCACATCCCACACACACAAGCAGACACTAAAAGCCTCTGGGCCAGGCCTGTTCCAGTGTGAGAGAAATTAGAGAAGTAAACTCTGTGTGTGTGTGTGTGTGTGTTTGTGTTTACAGTCTTGAAATTGAATTGGAAGTATCAGTATAAACTCACAATGTGTTTACGTTTTAAAAAAATTTCCCAGCTTTATCCACTGGAAAGGCCTAAATCCAGTGACATACCCAGTAATGGGCACCCCTGTCGCAGATCTTATCTCTAAAAACCTTACCCCACAAAAAGCAATCAGAGACCCTTAGAAGAAATAGCTCCTTCCGAGTCTGTAGCAGGAAATACACAAGATAAGCCTGGACATCTAGTCATGCCCGAAAGCAAAGAAGCTCTCAAGGACCAAATAAGATGGTGTCAAAAGGACTCAGAAATCAACTTGGGGGCGCCTGGGTGGCTCAGTTGTTAAGCGTCTGCCTTCGGCTCAGGTCATGGTCCCAGGGTCCTGGGATCGAGCCCCGCATCCGGCTCCCTGCTCAGCGGAGAGCCTGCTTCTCCCTCTCCCTCTGCCTGCTGCTCACCCTGCTTGTGCTCTCTCTCTCTCACTCTCTCTCTCTCTCTGTCAAATAAATAAATTTAAAAAAATCTTTAAAAAAAAAAAGAAATCAACTTGAAGAGGCTCCCACTGGCCGACAGTAGGAGTGATACAGGCATGAACAACATCTGCAAAGGACCAAAGCACATCAAATATGTCTAAATCCATTAACACATAATGACACTAAGGGAACAGACCTCTCCGGCATCATCAGGGAAGTTAGGGAATCCATTCATTATTTTGAAAACTGGTAAATACAAGGAAAGAGTCAAGCACTTTTTGAAGAAATATAATTTTCCACTGCCTATGAGATAATGGGTATAAGTAAAGATATCAGTGACTACTAACATCAAAAAAGAAAGACAAGCAGACATTACGTGCTCCCCTCTAAGGAAGTACACACATCTATTAGGTATTCTTACAAAAACAAACAAATCAAATCTGATCTGGTCTCTGACTTTAATTACCAATTTACAGAAAATACAGGGGCAGTAACATGTGACATGTCACTCTGGGAATGTAATCTGCAAAATGTAGATGATCTATAGGAAAACAACCCAGTTTCTTTAAGAAATGACAAGGAAAAAAAATGAAAACTGCGGAGGTACCTGCGGATTACGAGAGATCTAGGAGACACATCAACCAACTGGAACATCTGGAACTTATTTAGGTTCCAATTTGAGCAAAAACTATACAAAATTATGGGACAGGGAAATGTGAACACTAGATGTTTGATTACACTAAGAAATTATTTTTTGGTCTGATCATAGTAATGTGGCTATGTATTTTTTGTTTGAAAGTCCTTATCTTGTAGAAAAACCTTCTGAGGGCGCCTGGGTGGCTCAGCTGGTTAAGCGACTGCCTTCGGCTCAGGTCATGATCCTGGAGTCCCGGGATCGAGTCCCGCATCGGGCTCCCTGCTCAATGGGGAGTCTGCTTCACCCTCTGACCGTCTCCCCTCTTATGCTCTTTCTCACTCTCTCTCTCTAAAATAAATAAATAAAATCTTAAAAAAAAAAACAAAACCATTCTGAAGTACTCAAGAATGAAGTATGAATGAATAGAATGAAATCTGCTTCAAAATTATGTAGGAGTATAGAGAGCTATTGTTAAATGAGTTAAATAGGGCGCCTGGGTGGCTCAGTTGGTTGGGCGGCTGCCTTCGGCTCAGGTCATGATCCTGGAGTCCCGGGATCGAGTCCCGCATCAGGCTCCCTGCTCGGCGGGGAGTCTGCTTCTCCCTCTGACCCTCCTCCCTCTCATGCTCTCTGTCTCTCATTCTCTCTCTCGCAAATAAATAAAAAATCTTAAAAAAAAAAAAATTTAAATGAGTTAAATATTTAAAGGCCTGTGTCCTTATGATGGGACAATCAAATCTGAATCTAATCAAGCCTCTGGATCTTGTCACCAGCTCAAAGGGAAAAAAAGGAGAGAAAGAGGAACATCTTCAATAACACTGAGGATACAGTAACCCGATATAGAATATGGGCAATTCTGGAGGAAAACATGACTCTTTCTTCACAAATGCATGGCAAAAAATAAATAAGTAAATAAATAAAAAGAGGGAAATTGTTACAGTTGAAAAGAAACCAGAGACATGGCCGCTAGACACAATTTATCTTGGTTGGATCTTGATTTGAACAAACCAACTGTGAAATGCCATTTTTTGAGCAATTGGAGAAAATTATATATGGATTGGGTAATCAGTGATAATAAGGAATTGCTGTTTGTTGGATATGTTCATGGTACTGTGATTAAGTTGCTAAAAAGTCCTACTTCTTAAAACACACGCTGAAGTATTTACAGGTGAAATGAAATTGTGTCTGCCATATGCTTTAACAATTTAACAGTGGGGAGGGAGAGTAGATAAAATGGCAGAATGTTAGTAATTGTTAAAATTGGGTTCATTGTACCAGGCTCATTATTCATCTATGTTTGAAATTTTCCATAATAAAAAGTTAAATATAGAACATTTTAAAGATTTTATTTATTTATTTGAGAGAGCACAAACTGGGGGGGGGGGGGGTCGGAAGAGAGGGACAAGCAGACCCCCCGCTGAGCTCCAGGACCCTGAGATCATGACCTGAGCCGAAGTCAGACGCCCAACTGACTGAGCCACCCAGGCACCCCCCACCTTTTTAAAGATTGTATTTATTTAGAATAAAATATAGAACTTTTTTTTTTTAAGATTTTATTTATTTATTTGAGAGAGAGAGAATGAGAGAGTACATGAGAGGGGGGAGGGTCAGAGGGAGAAGCAGACTCCCTGCCGAGCAGGGAGCCTGATGCGGGACTTGATCCTGGGACTCCAGGATCATGACCTGAGCTGAAGGCAGTCGCTTAACCAACTGAGCCACCCAGGCACCCAAAATATAGAACATTTTAAAAATAAAGCTAGTCCTTTAAAAAAAAAGTTTTTTTTTATTTATTTAAGTAATCTCTGCACCCAGTGTGGAGCGCAAACTCCCGACCCCAAGATCAGGAGTCACATGCTCTAACCACTGAGCCAGGCAGGTGCCCCAAATAAAAAGCTAGTCCTGCACATGGTGTTAACTGTATGGACCACAAGAATCCGGAATGGGAAGGCCAGCCAAGTTTGGAAGGGTGAGAGAGGTGGCACGGCAGGGAACACTCTGAATCTGACCTAAGCCTGGCAGGAAGGGTGAAGGAGACAGGAACCAAGGCTCAGTGATGTTGAAATCCTAGCCTACACGTGCCAGGTTCCTTCCTACTTCCTATTGCTGTAGTTGATCGAGGGTGCTTGTTCCAGCTTTTTGGCCACATTGTGAGCCCTTTGAGAAGGAAAATGTCCCCACTCTCCTGCACTCCGTGTTTTTCCTGCCCCCCTACCCCCAAATTCCCAAACAAACTCTCTAATCCAAGGGGTAGCACATCCAAGCCCAATCGCCAAACATTGGACGAGTACTGGTCTATGGCTCCATCTGCTGGTGACACTGGGAACTGAAACTGCCCAAACAGGGTCCCTATTGAGAAGGAAGCTGAGGGTAATTTGAGAGAGATCTGAGCCTTCCCCATCAGGAAAGATAAACACAAGCCAATGAAACATATAAGAAGCCTTTAATTTCATCACCATAAACATTATATTCTGATTGCTCACATACAGTATAAAATATTTACTCCACTAAATAAATAAGACATAACATTATTGCAAACGGCACTTAAACCCCCCAGAGATAAGACTTCCTTAGCCCAGGCAGGGGGTACTCCTGAGTTTCTGTGCGAGATTCCCCAAGCACAGGTATGCCCTGGGGGTGGAGACGGATAAAAGCTCAAGGAGCCACATTCCGTGCTTCTTTCTGGTCCTGCAACAGCCCCAGGGAGAGGGCTGTGGAGCCAGGTAGGAAAGGTGGGGGGTGGGCAGCTCCTTCATCAGCCCAGCCCCTAGAGAGAGCAGAGGGGAGTGGGGGTGGGGGGCAGGCTGGGCGAAGAGAGGAGGGGAGGCTAGGGAGGCTGCTGAGACCTGGAGCCCCACCCTCCACTTACCCCCAGCTCCCCCCGCCTTGAGTAACAGGATTTGGGGTATCAGCTGGGTAAGCAGAGCTTCCAAGCTCCTCGGTTAGGCAGTTTTGGGACCAGACCAATCACCCAAGGGAAGATGATTCTGGCACTGCTCAGCCCAATAAACCAGCCATCTCCCGGGGCCCACCGGGGATCTCACCTCTTAGACACCGAGATGGCAGAGCTGGGAATTGATACCCCTCTACTTAGTTAAATAAATAAGTTAAATATTTAAAGGCCTGTGTCCCTATGATGGCAACACAGTGGCCAACAAGCCATGTCCTGATAAAACGTAGTTGTGGGGGGATGGGAGAAAGGCGGTGCTATGCTGCTATGCGGCCAGGGGGCTTCCTCTCTCCCCACCGGACTCTTACCCACAAATAACTTTCATATTCTCAAATCCTGCGGAGTTTCACACTAGAAACTTCCATGCAAGAGCAACATGGAGGGAATCTATAGGATAAGGGGGCTTGGAGATGAGACACCAGATGGTTGAGGTTACTTGCTCTCCAAACCCCTTCTCTGGCTAAGTCTTGACCAGGACACTAGCTGTTAACCCTGCCTGGGTAATCCCCCTGCAGAGTCCTGCATTCCAGTGCATGGAGCTAATGAAATGCCCTACCCTTCTGGCCTCCCTGTAGAAGTCCAGACTGAAGCCTGTCCGGACCAACAGTCAGCCAGCCCTGAAGACTGGAGAGAGAGAGAGAAGCCCCAGGCCCCGACCTGCGCAGCTCTGCACCTCACCACCACGGGGTGGCAGCAGAGAGCCACACCACTTTGGCAGCAACAGAAACTGGAAGGCTAGGAGGCCCCTGACCCGGAGAGGGGGTGGGGGAGGGCCTGCGACCCTCCCTCGGTGGGCCAGAAGGACTCTACACCGAGTATTTGGCCAAGTCGCTCTTATCAAATACCACCTGTGTAGCAAAATAAATGGCCACCAAACCAAGGCCCGCGGCCGACACCATGTAGGCAGTGACAGACTGGCTGAGCTGAACAATGGAGCCCATAAACAGGGACGGGGCCACCTGGGACAGCAGGAAGGCACTGTCCAGGATGGCGAGGTCCAGGCAGATGCCCCGGCCCGGAATGACCCTGGCCTCAGGCGGCTCGCCCACCACCACACGCATGGAGCTGTCGCAGGCGGGGGCCCCACACAGCACAGGAGGAGAAGGGAGGAGGCTGCTACCTCCAGCCCCCATGTGTCCGTTGGGGAAGGGGGATCCGGTCTTGGGGCCCGGTGGAAAGCTGGGCGTCAGGCTGTCCACGCCGGCACTACTCCCGGCATCTCCTCGGTATTTGGGCAGGAAAACCTGGGAGAGGGGGACAAGGATAGGTAGGAATCCAAGCATAGGACCCCCCAGCTCTGAGAACAGCCCCTGGCATTCACGCCGGGGGCTGGAAGAAACCAGGCAACGGGCCTGCATGACAACTGTGCAGCAGGTCAGAAAACCAAGCAGACCCTCCTTGGTCTGGGTCTAGTTAGGACGCCCCACAGGGGCAGGGGATGGGGAGGGGACAGATCTGAATTCAGAAGTCTGGGTCTCCTCTAGCCTCTCCTGGAAGCAGTAAGTGGCAGACAAACTCCGACTGCAGGTCAGGAAGAGAACAGAACCGCAAGGTAAAGGAAGAAGACAGAATGAAGACAGGTGAGAAGAGAGATGTGTAAGAACAGAGGAACAAAATCCAAAGGTGGGGCCCCTGATGGCCCAAACCCCCACACAGGCTCTCTTAACCCTCCTACTTCCTGCCCCCCACCACCACCACTTCGCCCTGGGAGAGCCGCCTCAACCTCGCAGAGAGGCTCTGCTCTTACTGAGGTCCCAGGCCCCTACTGTGAGGTCCATGGCCCCAGAATGAGGGCAGGGAAGGCCCACAGGACTCAGCCTGGAGGAAGAGAGGAGCGAGAAGAATCTTCCAGACTCCTTTAGCCTAGCTGTGCTAATGTTGAAGCCCTTCTTGCTTCCTACTCACTATATGCCTTAGATCAGGGTAGCCTGCCCCTGCCCAGAAGCCCCTGTTTCAGGATAGGGCCAGAATTCATCCCCCCATCCCTGTGCCTACTAGTGCCCCACGTGGAAGGGCTCTCGAGTTGGCTGCGCTAGAACTGGGACCCGTGGCGGAGCTCAGAAGGGAAGCCTACAGCTCTTGGTGCAGCCAGAAGGAGGCAAGGCAAGTACACACCGTGTACGGGGCCAAGTGTGCCACCAGTGGGCCTCCCAGGCTCTGTCCTCCCTGCCTGCCACCCCCTCAAGAGGCCCCTAGGGCTAGACTCGCTCGGCAGTCCGAGGGGAGGACCTGTCCGGCCATGCTCCCCGAAGCGAATGGGTATGCCCACGCCTGGCCTCTGGACACCAGCCCCCAAGCCCACAGCTGGGGCGGCACCAGAATGGAGGCTGATGAAGGTTATCAGTGTGCCGACAGGGGCCTCGGGGACCAGGCTACCCCAACCAAAACCCTGGCCCCTCCCTCCACACCCCCCACCCCTGCAGCTACCTATTCAATTACCCACCTCCTAGCTAGCTATTTCTCTGCTACATCACTCATGCCCTCCAAGGGGCAATCACATCCTCCCTATTGTTTGCAAGCTCTCCGAGGGCAGGCCTGCTTCTCCTCCCTCAGGACACCCCAACCTCTTACCCTCCGGGCAGAGATCTGGACCCAGGGCTGAGCTCACTGAGGCCAGTGAAGGGCACAAGGGCGACTACACAGCTTTGGTCAGGAGGCTGCCCACAGAACGGGGCCCCCGGAGGGGCTGGCTGGTGTGGGGCCAAGCAGGAAGGAGGCCCCCAACTTACAGTGGCCAGGCGAGCGGTGTCAGGCGCGTCAGGCTCAGAGATCCGCCGTGGGGGCGGGGGAAGGGGACGGAGGCAAAGGTGTGAGGCAGGAAAAGAAAAGAGAGAATTAGGCAGAAAAAGAAGATAAACCAGAAAGAGAAGGGGTAGTGAGGAGCCTTCCCCATCTTGGAGAACAAAGCAGCACAGGGGTCGGTCACAATGCCCCTCCCTGAATAAAGAGAGCTGCCGCCAACACCAGACCACCCCCACTCACCGGCTGCTGGAGCCAGGTGCCCCAGAGGTCATCGGACCCAGCCCCACCCCCCCCATCCCCTCCCCACGCCCCGCCTCTGCCTAGAACTACCCAGCCCAGACTGAGGGCTTCCGCTAGCCTGATTCTTCAGGATTCCCAAAGAAGGATTTTAGCATTTCCTGCAATCATCCACTCGAGTGCTTTATAGTCCTGACACCAGGAAGTCATTCCCAGAATCTAATCTACATCCTCCTTCCGCAGCCCACGTCTCTGGCCCTGGGCTACATGGGCTTCCTCTCGCATCAAAGAATGACTTCTCCTGCACGTCTCTGGCCCGACAACCGATCCGTTCGGGGCTCCTCCGTCTCCCCTCCACCCCCGCTCCACCCAGCGGCCAGTGTGAGTACCTGCTTCTCGCGGTGGTAGAGGGAGGCTAGCGTGTAGGGCAGGATCTGCAGGGCCGAGAAGGTGAAGCCGGTGAGGGCGGCCGACGCGGTCACCACGGCCACGCTGCGCGACAGGCACATGGTGCCGGCAGCAACAGGGAAGGCCACCACGCTGGCCAGATAGACGGCCCGGGTGCCGAATCGCTGCACCAGCCGGTCCATGACCAGAGAGAAGAGCAGGGAGATGGCGCACTGCAGGAACAGCCCCAGGCTGCCCATCCGGACCCCTGCGGGGTGGGGTAGAAGAGGAAGTCAGCCCCGGAGCAGGAAGAGGCCCGATACACCCGGAGAGGGCTCAGGACCGGGGGCACCTGCCGTCCAAGCCTCGCTGTGTGGACCAGAGCTGCTCGCCCGCATCATCCCCGTCCGGCTGCAGCAGCCCGAGCCGAGGCTCTTCCACTGCCCTTAGACGACGTGGCCAAAGCCTCTGGCTAAGGGCACAAGAAGACGTTCTATGGGTTTTTTTGGGGGGCCCGGCCTAGTGCTCGGCTCTCTAAGAGGGTGTGAGGGAACACCAAGACAGCTCTGCCGTGGGCCCCGGGACAGAGCTCGGGACGGCCTGAGCTGAAGGTCTGGCCCGGGAATGTGGCGAGTCAACAGCGGGTGCAGAAGGCACACTGAAGTTGGGGCCAGGCAGACCGAGACCCGGCCCTGACTGCCCTACCCCCCTGTTCCTCAACTAAGCTTAGCCTTTTCTTCTGGCAAATGGGGGCAATGACTCTGAGCAAACTCTCCGTGGCCCAAGGCTCTGTGGAGACGGGGCCCATTGTCCTGACAGGGAAATCGGGAACCCAGACGCACAGCTACAGGCCGGCACACACGGCAGGCTGTCCCTGGGTGGGGGGAGGGGGAGTCTCTCACAGCGCCCCCCCCCCCGCTGCTGAGGCCTTACCTTCATCATAGTGTCTCCGGGCCTCGGTGCCCGGCTTGGCCCGGGGCACACCCTGGTACAGCCCCTCGCCTACAAAGTCCGTGTAGAACAGCGTGAAGGTCATGAACGCCATCCAGCTGCACAGCTCGGCCACGAAGAGTCTGCGCAGGGTGCGAGGCACACGGCAACAGAGCTGGTGCAGCCGGGGAAAGAGGGCGCCCAGGTTCCGGAAAGCCAGGCGGGTGTGGCACGGCCAGCAGTGTGGCCCTGAGGGGACCACCAGCCCTTCCGCCACCTCGGCCGGACCCAGCGCTGCCTCCTCGGCCACGAACAGTGTGGCCGCCACACAGGTGAGGAAGATGAGGGTGAGCAGGCCAAAGAGGCACTCTTCTTGGGTGCCCAGGTAGGGGGCCAGGGCACTGGCGTCCCAGTCGATTGCAGGCAGGAGGTAGCCCAGGCAGCCCCCGAGGCTGATCATGAAGGCATAGACGGAGAAGGCCTGGCGACAGTGGTCTGGGTCCCGGAAGAGGTCAGAGAGCAGGGCCTCCAGCGGGGTGAAGCAAACCTGGCCGCAGAAGTCCAGCAGCCCCACCCCCAGGATCAGCAGGGCCAGCTCCAGGGGCCTGGCGTCCGGGCACAGCAGCCCCGCCAGCCAGCCGGCCCTCGGGATGAGGAAGAGGCTCAGCAGGACGCCCAGGGACAGGGCCCAGATGAAGGGCCTCCGGCGACCATAGCGCCCACGCCAGTGGTCACTGGCCGAGCCTAGGAGTGGGACCGAGACGAGGCCCAGCACTGGACCGATGCCTGTAGGAAGGACACGTCGTATGAGCCGGAGGGGCCGTGGGGAAGGGGGACCAAGCTCCTGGACAAGGACGGAAATGACCACGATCCTATCCCATGCAGGACCCCCCCTCCGTGCTGGAAACAGTGCAGAGTACATCACAGACTCTAGTTTAGTCCTCGCAGCTAGGATCACTAACGCCCCAGCTTAAGATGGGCAAACTGATGCACCGAACAACTGGTAAGTGAGCCTTGAGCACAGGCACCCAGGTGGGGGTGGAGGGCAAGAGGCAGAGTTTCAGCAGGCAGTCCGACCCCAGAGCCTGTGATCCTGGGAGCCACCCCAGGGTGACCACTTGCCTTCTGTGGCTTTTGCAGAACACATCTGCAGTCAGGGGCCCACTCTGGGCCCTAGGGGTAAAAAAGAGCCCTGGCTGGGAGACCCCGATCCTAGTAATCCGTAGCTAGCCCTCCAGCCTGGCTAAGTCACCCAACCGCTCACTGGCCTCCAGGACCTCTTCTGTGAGACGGGGGACCCCAAAGGCTGTTGCAAGGATTAAACGAGTAACAGGAATTAGAACGGGCCGGACAAAGGTGAAGAGCAGTGTCTCCCATGCGCCCGGCATTGTGCAGGGGTCTGGGGTATGGAGGTGACCACGGACTGTCCCTGTGCTCTTTTCCTGTTGGGCGGCGCCCCCGCCCCGCCCCAGCCCACCGCGCCCCCTCCGCCCAGCAGTGCCCACCCGCTGGCTCCACGGGCTCAGGAAGGGCGGCAGCCACCTCTCCCGCTTTGGGCAGAGGCACTGTGGCCCTGCCTCCTGGGCGTCGTGGCTCTGGAGCAGGAGGGAAGGAGGATGTGGCGACTCACCCAGCACCATGGTCATGAACTTCTCCTCGACCCCCACTTCCAGCAGCAAGGGCGGCACGTACGTGATGCCGGCGGCCAGGCACACCTCCAGGCCGAAGGTCAGCAGGTTGACCAGCAGCAGCTGGGCTTTCCGATGCCGCAGCAGGCGGCCGGCCCACAGCCTCTGCGCCATGGCGGGCCTCACTCGCTCCACAGCTGCCGATGCTCAGCCCCGCTCCGGACGCCCGGGCCTCTCCTCCTCGCCGCCACCAACCGCCCCGGCCTCGGCTGGGAGCCCATGTCTGCCAGCCTCCCGTGCAGGTCGGGCTGCTCAGCCCGCGCTAAACGCCGGTGGTCGCGGGCTGCCTCGGTGGGGACATAGCTCATCCCTGGGATCCTGGGAGGACAGGCACAGTCAAACCCAGCCTGTGAAATCCTGGCAACCAGGCCTCCAGGATTCGCGCTGAGTTCTCTGAATCCTGTTCACTCCCAGGCTGACGACCGTGCCACCCCTTACTGCCAATCAGGAAATGCATGTTAATATTAGCCTAAGGCTGACATAACTAATAAGGTAAATATGATTTCTAAACCTCAGCACACTCCAGAGCCAAACAGATGTCCGTTTTTCTCTGTTTTGGAATATCTTTGCCATTGCCCTTGCCTGCTGGTAGGGAAAAAAGAAAAAGAAAAAAAAAAAAAAAAAAAATCAAACCACCTGAATTCCCAGTTCCCCAGGCCCTGTTATCAAGGTGCCCCTGGAGACCCTCTGCCAGGCCTGGTGTGTTTGCTTCCTCTCTCCTCGTCCCAAAGCTGGGCTGTTCAATTCCCCTTTGTTAGGAATAGCACTTCCTATGCGGCGCTGCCTGGCCACAAGCCACGTTGCACCAGAACCCAAGCCACCAGAACCCGAGCCCCCAAGGACAAGGACAAGGGGGGAAGGGCGGGGAGGCTGTGGTTTGTTGGGTTGGGTTTTAACCTGTCACTGAAACCACTTAAAGAGGGCTCGCCTGGAGGAACCTCGGCCTGCAAACCTCTCCCTGGAGTTTCTCTCCGCGCTCAACGTTCGTGGGGAAGAAACATTCCCACGTGTATTGCCCAAGTGTCACGGGATGGTGGGGCCTGTTCCCAGGTCCCTGCCTCACAGGGGGCACAAAACGGCACCAGCTGGTGGCAACCATAATGACCCCGGTGACCCGGGGCTGGCAGGAGGCCCCACCACTTTCCCGGCAGCCTTTCTCTGCTCCCCAAATGGCTCCATTCTCAGCAGAGAAGTCCCCGCGGCCCTCCCTGCTAGGCCTGCCTCCTGTGCATAGAGATCCGACTGGGGGAGCCCCCACCCTGCGCCCCCCACCCCCAGGCAATCGGCATCCAGGTCTTGCTTCCTGACAACAGGACCCAACACAGTTTGCTCTGTTTAGGGGTGACCACAAAAGAGGGAAAATCAAGTCAGCCACGAAGAGGAGTATAGAAGGTGGGCCTTCGTGAGAAAAGGCAAGAGTCCCCTAACTTGTCATTCATCCCAAAGACGTGACGACAGAGCTTCATGCTACTCCTGGCTGGAATCTGGACTGCCTTCACACCCATAAATGCGTGGAAGGGCACTGCTCAAGGGCATGGTCCACAGTCCAGAGGGCCCCCATCCCTGGCCCCTCCCCCACCCGGCACCTGGGGCACCCTCAGCCCTCCTTCACTCCCCTCCAATCTCAGCATCTCATCATCCGCCACTTCAACTTCTTTTCAAGTAACACTCAGCCTCCCAGGGCCTTGTGTGCTACGAAGCATGTGGTAGGTGCTCTCTGAAATATGGCACAGAGAAATCAGAGGGCCACCAATCCAGGGTAAGATGTGTTTGTCCCATAACCACTTTCCAAGCCTTTGCAGCTGGCAGACCAGAAAGGAAGGCTGGGCAACCAGCAGCCTCCTCCCCCAAGTTCTGCTCAGACCCAGACCATCCACTTTGGGAAAGGGCATGGACTCCTATGGGGGTGGCATGGGTAGGAGTGTAAAATACTGAGCCACGGGGCCCCTAAAGGGGCTGGGAGGGGGCCACACAGCAGTCTCTGAGCCAAGCCCCTCCCCTGCCACAGCATCCCCCACAAGGAAGGCAGGAGCCTGCACACAGACCAAGAGAGGGGTCCTCTCCAGCCTGGAGGGAGGGGTTCTGGGTCAAAAGGCTTCCAGCCCATTCTACTCCCCACCCTCAGTCTGGCAAGGCCCTAGACACTCACCTGCTGAGGGTAAAGCAACCAGATCCTCCCTGAGCAAACACTGTCAGACCCAGACTCACCCACAACCTGCCCACAGTCCCAAACTCCTGTTGCACCCTGTAGTTTCAAGTGAATCGGAGCTCTGCCGCAGAACACTCATCACCCCCCTGCCTCCTTCACTTCCCTAGCCCAGCCCCCTGCTCCCAGGAAGAGGCAGGACACCCTCCTGAGCCCATGAGAAAGACAAGAAGACGAAAGGGGGTGCAGAGAGGAATTTCCCTTCATCCTCCTTCAGTCCAGATAGCCCATTAGCTGCCTCTCTCTCCCGCCGTCCCCCTGCCCCCTCCCCGGCTGCTGCACCAGGTAACTGGGGGCTGGGCCAGGTGAAGAATTCACTGAAAGGAGTTGGGAAGGAGGTGGGCAGGCTCCAAGCCCAGCTCGGTGCCCCTCTCTTCTTAGGTTGCTGACCCGTCCTCCCTCTTTTGACTTCTACTGTGCCCCAAGGTCCAGGGCCCTCTTGCCACCCCTAGAGTGGATTCTTCCCAGCCCAGAACTGCCCAAGGAAGTCCCGCACTCCCGGGCCTTCCCCAGAGCCCCAGTCTCACCCACGACATCCCCACTCTGGGGTCCTCAAGGGGGAAGGCACCACAAAGGACACCCACAGTGCTAACCGGCCACCTGCCGGCACCTCGGGGCGCGATCACAGAAGCCCACGCCCTGCCCGGTGCCCAGGCCCAGAGGGGCGGGGGAGCAAGCGGTTCCCACACCCCACACCCCTTCGTGGCCACCACTCCCTCCTGCAGCCTGGGGGCACGCTGCCCACCAAAGCCTCTAAGTGACGGATGACTGCCGGCACCCATTTGGGGGCACTCCCTTGTCTTCCTCAGGGATGCAGCCAACAGAGCTCAAGTCACCTCAGTACCCTCCGCTGTCAGAGGGGCTTCTGACTCAAATCCTCCTGTCCCACTGCTCCCAGAGCACTTGGCCTGTCTGGCAAACAGAAGATCAACCTGAAGAGCCGGCCTCCAGGGGCTCACCTGGTAGGGAAGTGGAGGTACCGAAAGCGGGAAGTATAGCCTGACCTCCAGCAAGGACAGCAGCCTTGGGGAGGACAAGTCCCTCTCAAGTTCCAAGTATCTGTCCTCCAATGACAGGACAGCAAGAAGGCTGGAAGAAACCCAAGTCCTCCAGGAACCTCCATGGAGCTCTGCCCCAGGCCATCTTTCCTCATCCCTGGGGAGCAGAACCCAAGCACACTGGGCCCAGTCAGCGAGCCCAGCCCCAGAGAGCAGGAGCCCTGTGGGCAACCCTCCCAACCCTCCAGCGCCCACCCTCGCGCAAGGGGCCTGGGAAACGTCTACCCATAGAATGCATGGCTGAAAGCAGCGTGGGGGTGGGGGTGGGCGGTGGAAGAGATGGGAAAGACCGAAGGGGCTCCCATCCCCACCCCCACTCGGGAAACCCTGGCCAGACCCCCAGAGGGGGCAACTCCTGAAGTTTCAAAGGTGGTGAGGGGACAGCACAGGCCCTCGGGCCGGGATGCCCCACGTTGGGTTAGGCCACAGGCGAGCACGGGGCAATGAAACTGAGCAGCGAGAACAAACTTGGCCTGAACATTCTCCAAAATTCAAAAGACCGAGTGAAGGAGGTGGGAGGAAAGGCGAGAGCCCACTTCTGGTAGCTCCCTACGGGAAGGGAGGGTCAGAGGGACGCATAAAGAGGCCTTTGAGGGCTTTCAAAGGGGCGACTGCCACCCTCACGCCCGAGGTGGAGCTGGGGGGAGCGGATTCCCTCTGCTGACAGACAGAGGCCGGAGGAGCCGGGCTGGGGGCAGCCCCGCCGCGGGCCAGTGTCAGGCAGCAATTCTATGGGCTCTTTATGCAGGCCGGCGTCCCCCCACCCCGCCCAGGCACATCAAACGCCGCGGCCCCCACCCTGACCCCAGCAGCTCAGCGACCCTGCGTCCTCCCTCCACACTCACAAAGCCGGCCCGGCTTTCTCACACGCTCCTCTACCCTTCACAGCCCCCAGGCGGCCCCTCCCGCAGAGAAGGAAACGGGGTGGGGGGGTTCCCTCCAGGAATAATGACTCAGCTGCAGAAAGGGGGTGGGGTCACTCTTGGCCAATCTCCCCAACACACACCTCACGGGAGGCTGCCGGGAGGGCGGGTGAGGAGAAACCCCCAGGTGGAGGCTACGAGGCTGCAGAAAGGGGGGGGGGACCCCCATTCCTCCACACCGGCCTGGATCCTAGGATCTCATGCCACGTTGAGCTCTCCCCAGGCCCTCTAGGTTGGGGGCAGGCAAGAGGGCTGGGGGCTCACCAGCCCCGCATCCCTGTGACCCAACCCCTTGCCTCAGTCCCAGAGGACCAATGTCCTTGGCCTTACGCGGTGAAACCTAGCACACTGCACTCCCGAAATGAGCTCTGCCCTCGTGGGGCCCTGGGGCGCCCCAGAAAGAGGCAGTGCTGGCCAGCCAGGAGACCTGAAAAGGAGCATCCTTGTGAGGCAGTCACTCCCATTACAGCCCCCGGTCGGAGGGGGGGTCGGGGACCTGGGCACCTGGGGGGGTGGGGGGACGCGCACAGGAGGAGACTGCGCCCCGTTTGTGCCTTCCTACCCACATTCAGTCTTTGATTCTCGGGCTCAAACTTCCAAAGAAGTGAGGGTCTGCTCTCCCCCCACAACGCCACGCTGTAAAAAAGGCAGTGATCTGCAGAAATACCCCAGGCCCACGCTTTGCAGGGCTCCCCCAGACACCTGAACACTCTGCTCAGAATGCAGCCTCTCCACCTCGAGGGAACTGTCAGAAAGAAGAAGGGCTGGACAGAGGGGAGGAGGACCCCACCCCCGCCCCCACCCCAGACTCGCTCCCTAGCTGCTGCCTCCCCCAGGGCCCAGAGGCCAGGGATTTGGAGTTCGCCCTGCTGCGCTGCCTTTTCTTCACTCGGACTGGAAGCCTTCTGCTTAGCAGCTTGTCAGAGAGAGTGAGGGGGCTGCAGGCCTGGACACAAAGGGGGATTAGGGAGAAACCTCTGGGCCTGCAGAGTAATCCATCAAACTCTCTCCCGGCCGCCAGCACCGGCCTCTTCCCACTCAATTCCCCTTCCAGCTGCCGCAGGCCCCCCACCCCCTCCGGCTCCTGAGCCCTGTCACTTCGGGCAGCACAGAGAATCCCAGGCCCTGGGGGGCAGAGGGGGCACACCGCAGACACTGGGAAAGGGGCAATGGCTCCCTCCCCCCACTCACCCCCAATGTGTGAAAACCCAACAGGTGGCAGTGGCTTGGAGGAAAGTTGCTTTTGTTGCCCTGTCTGAGAGCTCCAGCCCAGCTTCTGAAAGGAAACAAATGTGAAGAGGTTGGGGGGAGGGGAGGGGAAAGGGCGGGGCGGGCAGTCCCCGGGAGCCCACTCTCTTCTCCCCACCCCTCTGCAATCCAGTGACTGGAGTTCTGGGGCTGGTCTGACCCTCACCTTGGCCCGTCGGTCCTGGCCAGCCTAAGTGGAGGTGAAGCACCTTCCCAAGGGGTCACCTGGCAATCCCATAGTGACACACATCTGACTCCGGGCGGTGACCTCCCAGACTTCCTTTCTGAGAACAGTGGCGACCCAAGGTCACACTGGGTCACCTTGACCAAGTGCCCTCCGAACCAAGTGCCCTCTTCACCCTGGAGCTCTCTTCTACCCCAGGGGCCGCCAGCCTCTTCACCCTGGCGGGTTCAGCAGCGAGCCCCTGGTGGTGGCAGCCCGATCCGGGTCTGCGTGTGCCAACTCCCCCACTCAGGTGACCTGGGCAGGGGCCCTCCCGACCCCGCATGAGGCGGGTACCACGAGTACACCCATTTGCCAGGCGAGGACACGGAAATGAATACGATCCACCCCCTGGAGACAGCTTGCGCAAGTTCCTGGCGGCCCCTCCCCAGCCCAGAAACCTGGCGGAGGGCTCTCTCCATCCCAAACAGCAGCAGCAGGGATCAGAGGGGGGCGGCTAGCGGCCTTTCTTCTCGGGTAGCATTCCCCACACCCTCGAGCCGCCCACACCAGCACTCTCGCCCCTTTGGCGCCCCGCCCCCGGAGGCAAGAGGAATGCCAGGAATGTAAATGCTTCCCCAGGTGCTGGCCCCAACAGGTGAGGAGAGGTCACTGCGGGGACCTGCCCAGGGGCTGAGGCACCCAGTGGAGGGTGGAATCTACCTCCCACGGTTCTGAGACAATGGCGGGTCCCACCCCCAGGGACAGGAATCATAGTGGCTGACACCCGCTAACTGTCCAGAAGGTGTCTGGCGTGAGCTGGATACCTGACATACCTCCCTCTCCAATTCCAACCATTCAAAAATGCTGCCAAGTGCTCTGAACTGGGAACCAGGACAGTCCAGTCCAGTTCCAGTGGCTTTTGCTGCTGTAGAGCCTGGACAAGCCGTTTTACACA